ATCCAGCCCATTGCCTGTTTTCATAAATAAAGTTTTATTGGGAGCCAGTCCATTTACATAGTGTCTATAGCTGCTTTAATGCCATTGTAATGGCAGAGTTGAATCATTGTGACAGAGCAATATGGTCTACAAAGCCTAATTTTTTTTACTATCTAACCCTGTACAGAAAAACATTTGCCAATCTCTGTTCTAACCAAATGTCCTTTAGGTTCATCATTTGCAAATCTGAGGATAACTAACTCATCTATTTGTAATGAGAATTAAGGAGAACAGCATATCTGGAATAATCTATTGATAGTAGGCACCCCAAAATGTTAGCTGCAGTTTAGTTCAGGCACTCCATTACAGTGTTCATTTAGGAAATAAAATCCCATCCCTACTCTACCCCAGCATCATATCATTCCTTTCTTGGAGGTTGTTTGCTCCTGCCACATGTACCCCATCTCTCAACACTACACAGAAGAGGCAAATGTCTCCTGTTACAATCAACTTCAAAGCCTATGCCATGAGTTGTTTATTTCTGTTAACAGCTCCACCATTCTCCCTTTACCTAGGCTTGGATCTTGGAAATCAACCTGTTATGTCTCAAATCTTCTCTTGCTCATTTGTGAAGTCCTATTTATTCAACCTAAACAACAGCTTACAAGTTATCCCTCGTCTATATTTCCACTGCCTAATCCTTTCCAGTTCCCACACCTCTCACTATATCATCCCAGGAACATCACAATTCATTTCCCAAGTCAACATTTATAAAGTGGTCTGCATATAAGTGTCAGACATGGGAAAATCATTCTTAAACAAACAGATATCTCCTTTTAAGACTACCCAATATCGTGTCATTACTCATTGAGTTAAGTCCTCGGCTTTGCATTCGAGTTGATTCCACATGACTCCAATCTACACTTGCAAACTAACTTCACACTACATTTCCTGGGTACTTGCTATGCTCCATATACTATGTTAAGCACTGGAAATAAAAGGGGGAGAAACTCAACTCCTGTCCTCAAGAAGCTCAACAAACAAACAAAAAAATACCACACACAGGGCTTCCCTGGTGGCGCAGTGGTTAAGAATCCGCCTGCCAATGCAAGGGACATGGGTTCGAGCCCTGGTCCGGGAAGATCCCACATGCCGCGGAGCAACTAAGCCCGTGTGCCACAACTGCTGAGCCTGCGCTGTAGAGCCTGTGCTCCATAAGAGAAGCCAGCACAATGAGAGGCCCACGCACCGCAAGGAAGAGTAGCCCCCGCTCGCCGCAACTAGAGAAAAGCCCGCAAGCAGCAGCCAAGACCCAACACAGCCAAAAATAAATAAACAAAAAAAAAATTTTAAACAAAATACCACACACAAAGTGAAGTGTTCTAGGAAAGGTCTGAACCAAAAGGTGTGAGCCCAGAGAGAATGCAAGAACTATTTCTGCCACAGTGGGCAGAAGGGATGAGGGTTGAGGCTGACTTCACCATTCACAAAGAGGAGAGACATTAAAGAAGAAAACTGAGGAGGGGAAAAGAAAGACACAAAAAGAGGATGTAGGATCTTTACCATTTCTCAACTTTTTTTCTCCAAAGCAGTGCGTTTAATCCAGAGGCAATTTTGCCCCCCAGCAAGCATTTGTCAATGTCTAAAAACCTTTTTGACTGTCATGCTTAGGGGAGAGGGGGTGCTATTTGCATGCAGTGGGTAAAGGAAAAATACTTCTCTGACATCCTACAATATAAAGGACAGTCCGCCGCAGCAAAAAATTATCCAGCCCAAAAGGTCAATAGTGCTGGGGTTAAGCAACACTAGCCTAGAGCCACAAGAAACAGGAGTAAAGGAGGGCGTGGAAGTTGAGATAATTTCAGGATGTCTGAAAATACAGAGATGGCAAGGAAGGAGAATGAGTTATGCTGGGACCAACTTGCCCACCAAAACCAAACGGAGAGAATGCAAAACTGAACAGAGGGCAAAGTACCTAATAAACACTCCACATCTAGAGTCTCATGAATAGGGAGAGATTTGACTGTCAAGTCAAAACAATCAACTGTGAGAGGAATGAAGAAGAGGTGGGCAAAGAGGCTGAAGCAGAGGCTATCAGCACTTTCTGTTACACATGATCCAATTCAACAAATATTTATTGCACAGCTGCTACGAGATGTCATGGGGAAAACACAGAGATGAGATAAATAAGTCATAATTCCTGTCTGCAAGAAGACTGGATTTCATAGAGTCACAGATGTATAAAACAAACTTACAGTTACCAAGGAGGAAAGGACGGGGGGGAGATAAATTGGGAGATTGGGATTGACATATATACACTACTCTATATAAAATAGATAACTAATAAGAACCTACTGTATAGCACAGGGAACTCTACTCAATACTCTGTAATGACCTATGTGGGAAAAGAATCTAAAAAAAGAGTGTAGGGCTTCCCTGGTGGTGCAGTGGTTGAGAGTCTGCTTGCCGATGCAGGGGACACAGGTTCGTGCCCCGGTCCGGGAGGAACCCACATGCCGCAGAGCGGCTGGGCCCATGAGCCATGGCCGCTGAGCCTGCGCGTCCGGAGCCTGCGCTCCGCAACAGGAGAGGCCACAACAGTGAGAGGCCCGCGTACCACAAAAAAATAAAAAAAGAGTGTATATATGTATAAATGATTCACTTTGCTGTACACCTGAAACTAACACAACATTGTAAATCAACTATACTCCAATAAAAATTAATTTAAAAAAAAAGAAGACTGGATTTCAGTAGGAAGAATTAGGTAAGTATATATGTTATTATAATACAAGGAGAAATATAAGATACACGTCATAAGTGGAATACACAGGGTTTTGAGTACACACACCTTCCAAAGATTAGATGCAATAATAAAGGATAATTCTACTTAACACCTTCTTGCTCTTCCAGTGAAAGGAAAAAAAAAAAAAATCACAGGACAGTAAATTATCTTTGCTTGTAAAGCTGTATATGTCTGGCATAATTAACCTAATTAACAATGTAAAATATTTGTTTCCAAATAGTCCAGTTGCTAACACTACTCTAACAAGGGAAAACAAGGATACTTTATATAGAGTATTCCCATAGAGGTTTCACTTTCCGTTGAGAGACCCATGAAAAAAAATCAGATCCAATACCCTAGAGTAAGTCCTGTACCACAGAGAGGCTCTTAGTTATGTTTGGTTACTTTTTTTTTAACTTTGCGTGGGCTTCATTTCTCTTGAGGTTAGAAAGCCATCCAGAGGATGGCTCTTTAAATATTCCCCTCAGAAGGAGACTCTAAGTCAACATGAGAAAATAGTTAGAGAAATCCCTAATGGTCCAGCCAACATACATTTTTCATAAAGTGATTATCCTCCTGCAGCCTCAGCTTCCTAAGCCTTTTCCCCTCCTATAATTGTTTTCCTTGTAGGCCAGGCAACAATTACCACTGCTACAAGACTGAGGAGGTTCACGAGCAATATATTTTACAATACATAAGTGTACTGTCCCTGATATCTGGTGCTTTTATCACTAATTGCACTATAAAATGTGCTATTAAAACAGGGACAAACAAGATTGTAAAAATCACATAATGGACCATGACCACTTACAAAAGCCATTCATAAATGTTACTGTACCACTTATTTTTCTTTAATTTTCTAGTTATATAATTATTTTTCCAAATTTTTACTTCTAGGGGATACCAACAAGAAAAAGAATAAATTTGCGAATTACAAAACATACATGCTTGCGCTTGAATGTATTGTTTTATAAGTTTGCTCAATATTAAAATTATATAGAACATCAGACAATGTGCCATGAACACTGAATTCCTAGGGAACATCCACATGACCTCTTCAAAGAAATTATAGGCATGGCAAATGCATTTAAGCCTGATTTCTATTCAAACTTTAGAGCATGGAACAGAAAGCACGAAAAAATATCACAGAAGGATTTCACAATTCTAATCTATGAAAATACAATATAACAAAGCCAATAGAACATTAATATTTTGGGGAAAGACAGAATGATCAAATATTACTGCCAATTACTGGAGGGTATGGGTCAGTGGAGCTGCCTATAGTATTTCGTATGTCATTAGCACTCGCTAACTCACGGGCAAATTTTCAAGTTTGTAGATGACCCTTTCAACCTCTTTGTTATTTATTCCACATCTCATCATCTAAAAAATAGGAATCAGAAGAGAGAATGAAAATAAAGGTATTTGGTTACCCATTCATAATTCTAATGAATTCTAAGATGCAAGTAGGAATTTTAGTAGTGATTCAGATAAAATACTGGGATGGTCTCTAGGATTCATTTATCCATTACCAGAGACAAACTAGTTCTAATAATACCACAGAACACAAATACCACAAACAAAATAGTGACTAGTCTCTACAAAACTAAACACAAGTAGCCAATTAACGAAGTGGGGTTGACTGTTCTTCTTTTAGTAGGAAAATCTTCTGTTAACTGAAGAAGTAACAGATGCATTGATTTTAAGTGTCAGTAAGGAAAGTGTGATTGAGCTTCAGTCTTGCAGAAAAATGCCAGCACTTGTGCAACCTCACCATACTTACTCTCACATATTTTCTTAAATCTTTAAATGGCCCCACCTTAATAAAATCAGAACGTACTTTTAAAATAAAAGATAAGCCACAATTAGAAACATCCAAATTATGCCTAAATTGTTACTTTTTCCTCCTGAAGATATTAGCTCGTGCTCAACCTTTCTACAGGAAGACCGTCAGAAAGTCAGAAAGACAGATTATACATAAAACGTTTGCTCTAATTTCAGAAACTGAAGTCACTTAAGTCTGTTGGAATCATTTTAAAACAGTTTGAATGGTAAGAACAAGTCACTTTTTCAGACTGCCAAATACGTGAAATACTTAAAAACTGTGTTGGAAAACCTAAATAAAAACCAGAAGCTTATTTTTCACCCGTGTCATCTCCCAAAAATGATTCCCTAAGACATGCCAAAGCTGCATTATTAAATGAAGTTGAATGGACATGAGCCCACATACAAAACTTACTTTGTCAGATGCCTCAGAAGCCAAGAGGTTAGTCGCAAGAGTTTGTAGCTTATGATGGGCCATGTTTTTAAGAGCAGCAAGACTGCGTCGTGTCATAGCTTGTTTTAAGTTGACTGCTGGGTGACTAAGTGAGTCAACGGCAGCGGGAGCTGCTTCATCACAAGCATTCAGTATCTCTACTGCTGTGATCCCCATCACACACCGGTCCAGTGCACCTGGAAGACATATATATTCACAATCATTACACAACTCTGGAAGACTCTAAGTCAATTTTTAGGAAAGGAAAATGCATGGACATTTTTAAATGTAGGAATATGTTTTATCAGTGCCTCCCAGAAACATTTTCTTGTTTATTTCCTTCCTCTAATGATCTTCCACGTAGCATTACCTTAATCATTTCCTTTTCCGTAAGGCCCTACCACAACTTCCCAATAAACTCAAGTTCAGAGCCAAGATTTCAACAATTTCCTCCAGGCTTTTCTACTTTCTTTCCACTTCCAAGATGGTCTCCTTGATCATGCCACATCATTAGTCTATTACAAACAGCAATTTCTATAATTTTACCTTCCTCTAAAGCTATATGTCAATCTTATAGAATCAATTCAACACTAGTTGAATTCAACTCTCCACCTACTCTGCACCTTACAATGAAGATGGACATGAATGATGAACATACTAAAAGATCCACTTGAATTTCCTGACCACTGATCTTGGTGGGCCCTTAATAGTGACCACATTTCCACAGACCTTTCGTTTTCCTACTCTCCTAGTTCATTATTCCACTTTCTTTCTCTTCCAATCCCACCATTCCATTTCCTGCCCTCATCTGGATGAAAGTTTTGTTTCTTATTTCACAGAGAAAGAAGCAATTAAAAAAGAAGTTCCACAAACTCCCATTACCACATCTCCAGTCACATTACTCAATAATTATGAATGAACTATCCAGGCTCCTACCTAACACACCTGTGGCTTACACCCCATCCTTCTCTTGTCTGCCCAAAGACACCATGTCAACAATTCTCCTCTTTCTCTTCATCAGTTTTCCCTATCTACCAGATCATTCCCATCAGCTTATAAACATGCAATTATTTCACCTGTTTAAAACATACACACACACACACACACACACACACACACACAGAGTTAAGCCGGGTGGGTTAACTAGGTATGTATCCCATTTTTCATAATCATACTCTAAAGAGCTGCCTATTTTTACCACCTCCAAATTTTTCTCCTCCCATCTTCCTTTGAACTTACTCAAATCAGATTTTACACCAAATGTGCACAGAACCTACTCTCCACGTTGCTCAATCTAATAGCCAGTTCTCAGTCCTCATTTTACTATCATTTACTGTCAGCAGCTCTCGATCTTCCTCTCCACTCCTTGAAACACATTTTGTCACTTGGCTTCCAGGCAACCATATCCTTTATTTTCTTCTTTTTTCTGGCAGGTCCATTTTAGTCTCCTTTGCTGGTTTTTTACATCACAGAAGCACATTTAAACCCTGGAGTGCCCCAACCATTATCAACCTACATTCCCTTGGTGATATATCCAGTGTCATGACTTTACATATCTTCTATATGCTAAGATTTCCCACATTTGTACCACCCACTCTGACTTCCCTCCTTTGAACTACAGACTCGTATATACAGTTGACCCTCATATATACAGTTGACTCATATATACAGTTGTCCCTTGAATAACACAAGGATTAGGGGCAACCAACCTTCCATGCTGTTGAAAATCCACATGTAACTATATAGTCAGCTCACCGTATCCACAGTTATACCTGCAGATTCAACCAACTGCAGATCATGTAGTATTGTGGTATTTACTATAGAAAAAAATACCCAGGCAGTTCAAACCTGTGTTGTTCAAGCATCAACTGTACAATTTACAAATCAACATCTCTACTTGAATATCTAATATTCAACTCCACTTAATATATCCAAAATCGAATTCCTGATATTCCCAAACTCTACTCCTCCTTCTGGCTTCTCAATATCTTAAAATGAATTGCATCCTTCAAGTTTCTCATGATTGAAACCCTGGAGTCATCTTTAGCCCATCTCATTCTTTTATGCTCCTCATCCAACTATCAGCAAATCCTGTTGGTTCTACCTTCAAAATATACTCATACTTCAACCACTTTTCACCAGCTCCACTGCCATCACTCTAGTGTAATAATCCACAATTGTTTATTGCCTAGGGACAACAGCATACAAGCTAATCTCCCTGCTTCCACCCTAGAGCCACCTTTAGGCTATTCTGGAGAAAAGCAGGAAAATATAATCTATAATGAGGGGAAAAATAAAATCAATAAAAACCACTGAAACAGATCTTTTTTTTAAATTAGCAGACAAAACCATTAAAAGTTATTATAATTGTACTCCAGATGTTCAAAAAGTTTGAATAGAGAGACATGGGAGATATCCAAAATCAAACCTGTAGTTTTCAAAGATGAAAACTACAATGTCTGAGATGAAAAATACACTCAATGAGAACAAAAGCATATTAGACATTGTAGAAGAAAAGCTCAGTAAACTTGAAAACATAGACTAGAAATTATAAAATGAGACACAGAAAAAATAACATTAAAAATGAAAAAATAATCCTAGAGTTGTGGGCAATTTCAAGTAGCCTAATAGGCATATAACTGGAGTCTCCAAAGAGAGAAAAGAGGGGGGATATCAAACATCAAAAACATATTTGAATAAATAATGGCCAAAAGCTTCCAAATTTGTTGAGAACTATACACCCACAGATCCAAGAAGTACAACAAACCTTAAGCACAAGAAACATGCAGAAAACTATAACTAAATGGCTCAAAACTAATAATAAAGAGAAAAACTTTTAAAAGTCAGAAAAAAACAGACACAGCATACATAGAGGAACAAAGATAAGGATGACAGCAGATTTTTTTTTTTACTGGAAATAATACTAGCAAGAAGATAGTGGAATATTGAAAGGAAAAAAACAAAAAACTATCCACCTAGAATTCTATACCCAGAAAAAAAAATCTTCAAAATGATGGTGAAATAAAAAATTTTTCAGATATACAGAAGCTGAAAGAATCACCCACAGTCATGCACTACAAGAAATATTAAATATTAGGCAAAAGGGAAATCATTCCAGATGGAAATCTGGATCTACACAAAGCAATGAAGAGCAACAGAAATGGTAACTACAGGGGAAAATATGTAAAATTTTGTTTCTATATTCAAATTTCCTTAAAAGATAATATACTGTTTAAACAAATAAGCAAATAGAAAGAAATAATGTTCCAAATGAATGAAAACCATGAGCAACAATATGGGTGGTACAAAAGACAAGAAGTGGTAGACAGTGACCCAATTATTCTTGATTAGAACTATTCTTCACACAGAGTAACATGTCTGTGTAAAAGAACAGTAAGAGATAAGACAAAGGTAGGAGTGTACCACACTGCGGAGGGCCTTTTCTTAAAGGCTACGTGAACTAAAATTACTTATGTTTTTTTCATTAAGACAGTGGCATGAACCAAGTGTGATTGTTATTGTTTTACTTCCTATGATTAATTTGCCAACAGAGTACAGGATGGATTAGAAGGTAGAAATAGAGGACAGAGAAACCAATAAAGATAACCTAGGTGTGAAAAAATATAGCCCGATATAAGAATAGTACACTGGAAAGAAAAAAGGGAGGGGAGGAGTACCTAATGGGAAGGACTTAGTAATTAACTGCACAGAGGACTTATGAGGAGGAAAGTAGAAAAGATAGTCATATTTCCACTCTAACAACCTCTTCCTTCAAAATTTCAAAGTGAATCCAAAGGGAGAAAAGAAACTGATTATACTTAGTTTTACTGAGATTTTAGAAAAGTACCTATTTTTTCTTAACCATTTCAGCCTTTGTGTCTTTGCCTATCCTATCTTATGTTATTGTTGTAATAGAATGAAAAACAAAAACATAGAAGATATAGAAAAGTTGATGATGTAATGCCATATGCTGTGAAACAGAAACATAAAATCAAATCTCTATTGTATTAAACCCTGCAGGCAAAAGGTCAAATATGTGAAGAAAATACTTGCTACTAAACCCTTTATTAATAAAAAAAGACTGGACTGAAGTACCACCTCCTGATTCTCTTTGGTTATTTTAGTAACAAAACCATCAATATAAATAAATCAAAATTAATTTTTTTTGATATCCATGCTTTATATATGTTGCTTTATACATGTTGTACCAGTAGACAAATATACATTAGTTCATATTCTCTGTTATATTTTATTGGATAAACTAAGTTTTAAAAAATGATTCAAACACATATTTCATGAAGTTATTGCAAAAACAGGAATATTTAAGAAAACTTGGAGGGACAGAAAATAAATGAAAAGAAAAAAGATAACAGAACAAAGTAAATTGGTTAAGACTTCACACACTAATTTCTAATAATATTTGGCAATCACTATTGGCGTTTGCATTTGTACAAGAACACCTAATAACTGTCCCTCTAGGAATAGGTATATGATGAATCACTTTTATTATGTAGCAAAGATGATAAAAATGTGCAGATAAGAATGGTGTTAAGGCTTGGAAATAGTCATATAAGAAGAACGTCTTGTAGCACCAGTCATTACTTTAAAGCATGCCACTGTTTCCCAAATAGACAAGATTTTGACCTCATCATAGGCCTGTGAGAACACCACTGCATGCTTACTGGGAACATCAAATGTGAAGAATGGAGAGTTGATCCCTACAGAACATAACTCCATGGAGAAGCAGCCACCATCTAGGCCAGTTGACCCACTTTTAATAAGTTCCTAAATAGGAGTCAAGAGGTCCAGCCAGCCAAATCTTGTTGCTAGTTGTTTGACTAATTTTCTAACTACCCAGAGACGTGAAAGAATAATAATTTCCATGGCCTCTACAACACTATTTAGCACTACTGCATATAATTAAGATGGTACAATAAAAGAACAAAAGACTCTGGACCTCTACCTCTGTAATTAAGTTTTATATTACTAGCTTCAACTTCATGTCATTAGGAAATAAACACTGAAAATAAAAACTACCCATTTGAAGGGAAAAACAACTAAAAGAAAATGCTGCATAAAAGCATAGTCAAGACATTTTTAAGTGTTTTTAAGCTAGAAACATCAGTATAATTCAAAATGGCAAACAGAAAACTGCACAAAATGCATGTGTAATTTTAATGTAATATGGCTTCACTTGTAAAAATACATTCCCAAAACACTAAGTAGAGGGGCAAAGTATCTTCTCAGAGTTTAAATACATTTCATACATCAAACCTTGGCCAAATCTGATTTATTTTGCTTCATTTTTTATTTATTTAATAAATAAATAATGTCAATACCTTCAGGATGTGCCTTACTGGCTCCTCAGGGACCTTTATATCACTAGCTAAAGCCTGAACAGCAAGAAGGAAAAAGAGTGTACACCTCCTATTATGGTTGAAGTCCAAAATTTATTCTGCTTCTCTATCTTTATCTTGATTTAAGAATGCCATTACTGACTGATCATTTACCAAAATCCTCCTGAAGGTCAGAAGATAATTGTTAAATTGCAATATTATGTATTGGGCTTAATTATAATAAACTGGTTATAAAAATAACATCCTCCAGTACACATACAGTCAGGAGCTATTTGTCATTTCATACTAGGGAAACTACTGAAAAAGTAACATTGTCTTCCAGTAAGGTCTCATTTGTAAAGAAGTTCATATTCTTTGTAGATGTATTTAAAGTATCTGAAGTAGTCAAGTATCATATATTTAAGCACCTAAGAAATTCAGGAAAATGATACTCTTCCTTTATCATATTAATTTAATGTTTTAAGTCCTACACATGTTTACCATACTCTTGTATTTAAAATATATCAATTGCTAATTTAATATGTATAGTATTTTAAAATAGTGTTTTATAACTATCATCACTATAACTTACTTTAATACTAATTCTCATAGAAAATATTTCTTTGTAAGTAAGGTCATATCCCCAAGCTCAATAAAGTAACAAGCATATTTGTTAAATAACAATAATAGGAAATATACACATATGCAAGTATACACACGAACTTAAAGTACGCAAACATACATGGATACACATTTACATTACATCTACTATACACAAGGTAAATATTCTCTCATTTTATTCTCCCAGAAACACTATAAAATGGCAACTATTATTATCTTTATTTTACAGATGAGTAAATTGAGAGACTTGCCATAGATCACAGTGCTATCAAATGGTTGATCTTAAAGATTTTTTTCTTTTTTGATGTGGACCATTTTTAAAGTCTTTATTGAATTTGTCACAATACCGTTTCTGCTTTATGTTTTGGTTCCTCAGCCATGAGGCATGTGGGATCCCAGCTCGCCGACCAGGGATGGAACCCACACCCCCTGCATTGGAAGGAGAAGTCTTAACCACTGGACCAACAGGGAAGGCCCTCAAATGGTTGATCTTAAATTCAAACCAAGGAGTCTGACTCCAGAGCCCAAGACAAACTCTGTATGTAGTTGACCTTGAACAACACAGGTGTGAACTGCACGGGTCCACATACACACAGATTTTTTTCAACAGTAAATACTACAGTACCACAAAATCCACGGTCATTTGAATCCAAGGATGGGAAATGTCGGATATGGAGGAAACATGGGAATGGAGGGCCACCTTTAAGTTATACACGGTTTTTCAACTATGCAGAAGGTGAGTGCCCTAACCCTCACATTGTTCAAGGGTCAACTGTATTTAGTTTGTAGGGTGGACCAAACCAGCAAACATGAAACAGTGCTGCTCAGCAGACAGGATGAAACAAAAAGGAACACAAAAGTAAGATACAAAATTATACATGTAATATGACAGCAATTCTGTTTTTAAAAATGCACAGAAATAAGACTAAAGAGAAATATGCCCAAATTCACCACTGAGTAATGGGATTTGAGTTCATCTTTCTTTTCTAACACTTTTGTGCTTTCAAAATTTGACAAAAAAGTAAGAAACTCTTTTACAATCAGACGAGAAAAAGAAATGTTAAACACAAAAGCAAAGAAGTCTGACACTCTTCAAGAACGCTTCCTCTTGTCAAAATTGCCTACGTAGTACCAGATAAAACCAGAACTATAAATGAAAGATACCTGAAGATTATGGCTACTTGCTCCAAAAAGACCTAGGAACACTCCCTCCTGCACCACAGCACAAGCAAAAAAATATATATATTCTGATTTCAAAAAGGACTATTTAAAAACAAAAATGAAAAAAGCTTCATGAAGAAAAAAATAGTAGAAATATTATATAGCACAATTAGGAATGTAAAGAAAGGTTTTAATCACTGATAGATGATGACTCAGGATAGTAAAACTAGAATAAGCTGTGTTTTTAAAAGCCCAAACTAATAAACATTTAGTTACATACTTCAAAATTTCTCAGGGAAAACCATAAGATTCTGTGTATAAATCTTATATATCATGACCTATACCTTTAAGCTAAACATTACTTGTTCTGTATCATGCCACATACATAAAATTTCTGAACCTTGAAATTTTTTTTTTTTTTTTTTTTTTTTTTTTGCGGTATGCGGGCCTCTCACTGTTGTGGCCTCTCCCGTTGCGGAGCACAGGCTCCAGACGGGCAGGTTCAGCGGCCACGGCTCACGGGCCTAGCCGCTCCACGGCATATGGGATCTTCCCAGACCGGGGCACGAACCCATGTCCCCTGCATCAGCAGGCGGACTCTCAACCACTGCGCCACCAGGGAAGCCCTGAACCTTGAAATTTTAAATGTTCTCTCTAGAACTTAAAACTTTCATTTCAATTACCTCCTTCTATTAACGGCCCTGTATGGTTTTTCTGCTTTTCAAATAGAAGATAATTTTATCTTTTTCCACTGTTTCTGAACTTGAGACAAAAATGGTTCCTTGATCTTACAATTTGCCCATGAATTATATAGAAATCACTTACTTGTCTGGTGTCTGCATGCCTGTCCTAATCTGTATACTGTCATCAACCACATTCCTCTAAAGATCAGTGAACTACTCTGCAAGTGTTCCAGATAGTACAACAAATAAGAGGACATCTAAATACTTCTTTGTTGATAATGATAAGAACACTTATAAAAAGCAGTGGTGAGAAATAAAAGTAGCAAACTTTTGACCTCTCAGGGGTTTTTTCCTCATATAAAAGATTTTTCATTTAGGAAGTCAAATATACTCATTTAATTTTCTAGTCTCTCTCAACATTTTTCTTACCGGTATCCATTTGCCAGACATACACGGAGCCGTCTGAACATCCCACTACTAGGTAATCGTCAGAAGGCCTCCACTTGATTACTTGAATGGGGAAAAGATGACGAGATGCCAGCATAATGCATTTTTTCTCTCGCAAACTTAGAAGTCCTACCGAGTGGTCACTGGCTACAGAGCAGATGCAGTGCTGCACTCTTGCCTGAAAAGAAGAATAAATCTTAATTACACTTAGATTAGATTCAGAAGAAAATGGATCTTGTCCTCAATTAAATCAAAATTAATTATACATTCACTGCTGCTGAAAACACTAACCACGACATTAGGATGTGTCGACAATTTTCTTCTTTTATATTATACATAAAACGCCTAGTTCAATCATCACAACACTTTGAAAAATACTAAATTAACACTAGATTAAAGAAGAGAAAGATGCCTAGGAAAATCTGCTGTTTAAATTTGAAGATGACCTTACTAAAAATAATTGCTATATATGAACAGGCAAAGCTGGAAAAAAATTGATCTGTTATTATGTGCTCCCTTTCCACTGTCTGAACTTCCCTTTGCTAGCAGCTAGAGCTGCTTTCTGCAGTGCTTCTTTCTGTTTGTGACTCTATCATTTAGACCCATGCTCTTCCCTGCTCCTTTGCTCAGAAACAATACCCTCAAGGTCCCTCTGCCACAAGCATTTCTTAAGAGCCACCGATAGTTTGTATCACCTGTAGATGTGTTTCACAGCTTCTGTCTCTAATGCCAGCAGGCACACCACCTCAGCTAACATACAAGAGCCCAATAAACATCCTGCTCTGTACTTCCTGCTCATCTCTAGCTTGCGCCCTTCCATTCCTTTTTAGAACAAGATGGAATATAATAGAAATAATCAAAGATGGTAAAGATTTTCACTAGCATCAGAGAACTGAATCCATAATCTAGAAAATTAAAAATTAACGTCTTTATAGGTTTGGAAGACAATTTACAAGCAACTTACAACTTTGAGTGATTTATTAGACTGTGCTTCCGGTTCACACTGAGGTGAAACCATATGAAAACAGCCATCTGAAGCTCCGTACTGTGTAAATTGTGGCTATTTACTGAGGATGAGGCCCACGGCACCACATACATATTATCCCTTCTGTGGGATCCAGAGGAGAAACTTCTCAAACGTCACCCAGCTGGGCTTTGCCTAAGCAGACGTTTTTTAGCTAAAGAATGATATATCTCCCTGATTGGTCCATCTCAATGGGAAACGTTGACAGGTATCAGATGAAAAAGAGTGGGGCGGGGTGGGGGGGCGTGTGTGTGTGACCACATGTGCATGGGAAACACGTTACAGTTGTTTTTGTCCATAGAACCTCTAAGAAACTTTAACATGCTAACATGAATATAATCTCATTTGACCATCATCTTTTTTTTTGTAACATCTTTATTGGCATATAATTGCTTTACAATGGTGTGTCAGTTGCTGCTGTATAACAAAGTGTATCAGCTACATATACATATATCCCCATATCTCCTCCCTCTTGCATCTCCCTCCCACCCTCCCTATCCCACCCCTGTTCTATGCGGCTGCTTCCCACTAGCTATCTATGTTACACTTGGTAGTGTATATATGTCGATGCTACTCTCTCACTTCGTCCCAGCTTACCCTTCCCCCTCTCCGTGTCCTCAAGTCCATTCTCTACATCTGCATCTTTATTCCTGTCTAGGGCAGGACAGGAATAAAGACCATCATAATCTTATAAGACGTAGTTTTTGAGGAACAGACTTTGGGGAAAGCTGCTACAATGGATTCCTTCAATGTTTTGGATACTAAGAAACTTAGGACTGAATTTTCTATCCATGACTGTGGGGTGCGTGGGCATACATTTCTGAATGTGGACCCTAGGTGGTCTCGTCTACTTTTTCTTTCATTTTCTCTTCACCATGATTTAGCTTTATTTTTAACTAACTGAATAATGTTTATTTTTGTGAACAACCTAAAATCAATTTTTGAATGAGGCAGAGCATTAATTTTAAAAAAGAGAGTCAGATTTAACTATTTACTTTGTTCTTAAATTCAGGTGTTTTAATCTTTGGTTCTGTTAGCTTGTACGTTTTCTTTCATAATGATTTAAAAACTATAATCAGCATAGTAGGTATTTATTAATTTTAAAAGTTAAGAAAACTAAGTTCAGGAAGATCATGTTATAAACTTCTACTAAAACAACATATAGAATTTTCTTAAGCATTTGTTAAGCTTATTTATTTCATGCTACCTGATAAGCATTCAATGGAAACATAAAACATGATTTCTTTCTTTAAAAAGACATTAAGGACTGAGGAGTAGCTGACTATGGCATGCAAAACTTTGCTTTGTAATTAAGCAATAAGTCAAAATAAAGTGGCAAACTACAAAAATATCACTTAAATATAGGCAATGTTAGAATAAAACGTGGCAGAAATATAACATGATGCCTTTATTTTCAGTTATTGTACTTCACACCACATAAAATACTTTTGAGTGGGCTTCTCTGGTGGCGCAGTGGTTAAGAATCCGCCTGCCAATGTTCAAGCCCTGGTCCGGGAAGATCCCACATGCCACGGAGCAACTAAGCCCATGCCATGCGCCACAACTACTGAGGCTACACTCTAGAGCCCGAGAGCCACAACTACTCAGCCCGCGTGCCACAACTACTGAAGCCCGCGTGCCACAACTACTGAAGCCCACGCGCCTAGAGCCTGTGCTCCACAACAAGAGAAGCCACTGCAATGAGAAGCCTGCACACCTCTACGAAGAGTAGCCCACGCTCACTGCAACTAGAGAAAGCCCGTGTGCAGCAACAAAGACCCAACACAGCCAAAAATAGATAAATAAAATAAATAAATATTAAAATAAATAAAAATATTTTTGAGTTTCACCAGATGTACGTTGCTAAGCAAGGATAACAGACAGTCTAATACAATGGAGGCTTTGCATTTCTACAGATAATCATTAATACTGACTTTGTATTTATCATATATATCCATCACTCAATATACAAAAAAGGATGATTGCTACGTTAATGGTTAACTATTTTCTATTTTCCAACACGAGTCTGCTAAAAAATGGTCATTTTATTTATTTTTCTCATCAGAGAAATAAATGTAATAGTAATCTTTTTCTCTGTGTATGAGTCACTAAAAAGAATGAGTCCTAAACGGCATTCCTTTTCATCTATTCACATCTTTTAATCAGGCACTGATCTGCCACAGTACTCACCCCTGTCACTACTTTTGATTCTGCTATGACTCACAAGCTCTCTGAAATCTTTAAAATGAGTTAATCCTTAATTAATGCGGTAGACCTAACTAGCCGACTTGCCAGTCCCCAAGTTGACAATAATTTCATTAATGTTCACATAATTCTTGTCATTCCTTTTCATAGAGAAAACGAGGCATGAGTCAGGGTGAAGTTTGTTTGTTTTTAAAAGGTGATTTTTTACCAATCTTCTTTACTATGTTTGGTGTTTTTCAAATTATGTTCTGCTGGTAGATCTCAACACCTGAGGTGACAGCAAAACTACTGAGAAGCACTGACCCACGTGTTCTCTCTCTGCCAAATATCTCATACTGCAGTTTATAACCTACCAGAGAGAGGACTGCAGACTTAAGCAAACAAAAAAGGCTTCCCTATTCCCACGAGGAACTTGACCTCCGGCACCAACTCCTCATAAGTTTCGCCTTCAGAACTTTCACCCTTGCCATTTATATGAGGTGGATAATTTTTTAAAATTCAAGAAAATGCAATCCAACCTCATAAAAAGATTTAAAAGCTCTACTTCATGTTATCTCTCTTATTAGTAAAAACAAAGAACATACAAAGCTAATATTAAATAATATTATAGGGTGTATTTTAAAAAGTAGATTATGGGATGTAATTTTCTGAAGGAAAAAATGACTGAATTCCAAAAATTCTAGCTTTTCAGTCCCACATGACGCGTTCTCTTCTAACATATATATTTACATCAATATCTTTTAAAGAATAGTTCTGTTCTTCATTTGTATAGTGCAATAATGATGAAAACTGACAAATGACATGCCTCATCCGCAAAAAAATGTTTGGCCCCAAACAAAAATGTTATACCTTCCATGTAAATGAAAATAAGCATCTGAAGAGTTAAGTCTAGCTTTACTGTAATGAACAACGGTCTGGAAATAGCCAAAATAATCAAGACTGAAAACAAACAAAAAAAATCAATATTACTAAGTCCAAGAAAGCACAGTTATTAGAGGTACTTAACTCACAAGAAAAGATGGTTCTCTGCTTTTTAAATATGGATTTAAATAAATCTAATTTTTCTTCTTTCAAGAAACTGCTAGTCCAACTCGTGTGAAGAAAACTGGCCTAGAGTGGAAATGGCCCAATACAGTAAATCCTCATTAATTTTGATTCCCCTAATTAATTCTGAGTTGATGGTTACCTTCACAGGCTCTGTGAAAACAAATTAATGGTATAAACAAAGCAAATGTCTAGCTTATTTAAATGTAAAAGGGAAAAAGACCATTCTCAAGCACCACTTTGGTATTAATTTTAATTCAAACAATGAACAGAGTAATGATAAATAATTCTCAGCTACCTGTTAAATGAAAGCACTTAAAAGATTTGCTGAAACACAATTAACTTGGTTTCTCCTTATCTGCGCTCAAAACTATTGAAGAAGCACTTCTTAAAGAATATTAGATAACACCAAACTCTCTTTGATTTAGATGCAGCGTCCTCACAAATGAGTTGAATTAGCATAATTCTTTTATTATTAAATTATTAAATTCTAGACATCTTGGTTACTGAACACTTACTTCACCCACAATGACTGATTCTATAATTTATTAATTCCATTCTACTTCGCGTTCTTCCATCTCAACCTGAAAAAGTTACCTAAACATGACTTAACATGGAGGATGTTTTTATAAGACATTTAAATTGTGTAATTAGAATAATAATACAAGAAATAAAAAATGTGAACCTCGTATCTTTAACTAAATTATCTGAAAAGTATTTATGTTCCAAACTTGTTCAATCACACACTTATTCATTTAAAAAACTCTGTAATATATTCTCACTATATGTATATTTATACATTGTATATGTACTTTGTGCCAATATATCATGTACATTGTAAAACATGCACAGAATATATACTTTAAAAGGATGACTCAGTTTAAATAAACAAATTTAAGATAAAA